AAAAAAAAAATTCATTTACGGATTTATTTTTGGGCAGATCTGCTCCTACTGCACAGCAATCACAATAACATCTTCAGTGAAGCTCCACCTAAAACACATCACCAATAAATGCTGGACATTGAAGACGAGCATCAAAGCATCAGGAAGAAGCGAATCTGCAGAGATAGAGTATATATATATATGTGTGTGTGTGTGTGTGTGTGTGTGTGTGTTAATTGGAATGCAAATGAATGTAGAAATACAATAATTTATGATAGATATATGGATCATGAACAAAGATAAATTACATAATGTGAGAATTAGAAGAATTTTTAAAAAAAATTCATTTACTGATTTATTTTTGGGCAGATCTGCTCCTACTGCACAGCAATCACAATAACATCTTCAGTGAAGCTCCACCTAAAACACATCACCAATAAATGCTGGACATTGAAGATTCATGTGCGACCAATGCGGCAAGAGTTTCGCATACAAAACAGGTCTGAACAGACACATAAGGATTCATTCCGGAGAGAAACCGTTCTTGTGTCCTCAATGCGGAAGAGGTTTTGCACTCTCAGGAGTCATTAGGAGGCACATCAAAATCCACAGCGGAGAAAAGCCGCACACGTGCGATCACTGCGGAAAGAGTTCCACCTATAAAGAAAACCTTAAGGAACACATGAGGATCCACACCGGAGAGAGACCATACATTTGTGTTCAGTGTGACAAGAGCTTCACACATATCAGCAGTCTGAAAGAACATCTTCACACTCAGTCCGTTTCACTGCGACCAGTGCGGTAAAATGTTTCTTTCGTCATCCATACTGAAGAGACACTTGCAAGTTCACGTGCAGGAGAAACCATACTTGTGTTTTCAGTGTGGAAAGAGTGTCGCACGACTGGACGGTTTTAAAGAACATCAGAAGATACACACCGGTGTGAGAACTCACGTGTGCTTCGAATGCGGGAATGGGTTTATATCAGCCGCACACTTGAAAATGCACCAGCGGATTCACACTGGAGAGAAACCGTACAAGTGTTCGCGCTGCGACAAGAGATTATCTCGCTCAGGAACCCTGAAAGCGCATGAGAGGATTCACACCAGAGAGAAACCATATCACTGCACTGCGTGTGGGAAGAGTTTCAACCAATCAAATCAGCTGATGAGTCATAAGAAAAACATCACCCTGTGTTGTCGCAATAAGCTTTTTTCTTCAGCAACTAAGACTTTCTAAGAGATGTGTGTGTGTGTGTTTGTGTGTGAGTGAGTGAGTGAGTGAGTGAGTGAGTGAGTGAGTGAGTGAGTGAGTGTGTGTGTGTGAGAGAGAGAGTGTGTGTGTAGAAAACACAAGTTTGGGATCAGTAATTTTTTGTTGTTGTTTGATTTAGTAATGATGCTGAAAATTCAGCTTTGATTCACAGGAATAGATTACATTTTACAATATATGCACATAGAAAACAGTTATTTGAAACTGTATTAATATTTCACAATATTACTGTATTTTTATCAAATAAATGCTGCCTTTGTGAGCATAAGAAACTTCCTTCAAAAACATAACAAGCAAAGTCTTAATTATTCCAAACTTTTATATGGTAGTGCAAGTATTTTAAACACCTTACAATCAGGTGCATACATGCCTCATTAAAATGTTTTGCACATGAAGAAATAAACAGTACTTTTTTAAAAATCTGTTGTTTTATTCTACATGAAACAAAAATACTAAGATCATCCAAATGGCTGAATACTGATCACTTTACAGAATTGATCATGGGTTATAAATATGCCAATGAATTGGGCATTTCTAAAATGGCTTTTTCAATATCTGACAAAACTATATTTATGTAACAATACTATATTAATACATGTTATGTAACTTACAATATGTTTTAAGAGCTTTGCTGTTTTTATTTTCTGTCTTTCTACTGTCGAATCGCAATATACTCCAGTCCAGTAGTGGGCGCAAGTGCATCATAATTTTGCTTCATCGCCCGCCACAAACGTTAAAGAAGAATGAGATGCTGAACATAACTTCTGTCTGAACTCCAAAGACAAGGGTTACTGAAGAAAATATTGAAGAACAAAGAGGTTGGCGTTTATTCTTGATTCTTCATTAACGAGGCTGAAGAACATAAAGGTTAAAAAGCTTCAAGCAGTTTATTAAATTTACTTGTTTAAGATAGAAAATATCAAAAGACTTGTGAAACAGCAAATAATAGGGGACTCTTAACTGTTTGCTGTGAAGCTTTTAACATCTTTGAACAAAAACACATCTGAAAACACACGAGAGGATCCACACCAGAGAGAAACCATATCACTGCACTCCACGCGGGAAGAGCTTCAGTCAGTTCGCTTCTCTTCTCAGGCATAAAAACACTAATATCTGTAATAAGTTGATGATTCATAAAAGCCTGATGATTCATGTTATCAGACATGTTTTGAAAGTCATTGGACTGTTGGAAGCTATGTAAATAACTTATATCAATCTATGATTAAATTGACATGAACATTTTTTTATTTTTTGAAAGCATGTTATTGAGCAAATCATTGATGATTTTTTATCAAAATGTCATAATATGCTCCAGTTCAGCCAATCATTTTCAGATCCAGTGCAGGTATGTCTTCGTGTTTCTATGCTATTATGATTGTTTCTCTGTTTAGAGTTATAATATTACGTAAGTTGTCATGTTTGGTTCGGCATAAAATCTGTGTTATTTAAGAGTAACCAACGGTATGCTACAGTTAAAATGTGTAGTGCACATTCATGATACATCTAAAGTTATACCAGTTTTAGCGTTAATTCACTTTATTATACTGCATTATTTATAATTTTATAAACACATATTTGTTGTATTTAAAATACCTTAGGTTTTTCTTTTCCATTCATGCTAACATTTCTTTTTTTCATCTCTCAGAACTTAGGTTTTTTTTTCCTAAATACTGAATCGCATTTTCTGCGCTCCAGTCCACTAGGTGGCGCAAACGCACCATCATTTGTTTCTCACAAAATTAAAAGAAGAATGAGGCGCTGGACGCAACTTGTACCTTATGCTGCCTGGGACGTTCGTACTTACGAGTTGACAAGTCGTAATTACGACGTCAGGTGCGTTCAAGTTAGTTTAGTCGGCACAAGATGGCGGTGTACCTTCTTTTAATAAATTACAAGAAAATACAACAGGGTCTGTTAACTCTGCTTATAGAAAATGAAGAGCAAAGAATTCGCATCAGGTGTGTTTTGCGTTTTTTATATTTTTAAAACATGCAACTTGGCAAATCAAAAGATTTTTCACCTATCGGTGCAAAAATGATAGCATTTTTTACTTGGATTTTATTAACTTAGAAAATGAAGAGCAAAGAATTTGCATCAGGTGTGTTTTGCGTTTTTAATATTTTTAAAACATGCAACATGGCAAATCAAAAGATTTTTCACCTATAGGTGCAAAAATGATAGCATTTTTTTTACTTGGATTTCATTAACTAGCTGCGTAACAAGAACATGACCAATTAAACTATCAATTTAAACAAAAATTTACCGTCAACTACAGACGTTGCATCCATCGATTCCGCCATGTTTCTCATTGGATCTCCCCTAACTCGGAAACTCGGGGCTTAAAGAAAATGTCGAGTTTCCCACTCGTAATAACGACTTTGTGGTGGCGTTCATGTGCGTTCAACTCGTAAATACGATCTATCCGACATGACTTGAACGCACCATGAGCTCTGATCGCTCCAGAGCAGACAGACTGGTGTGTCATTTACGGTAGTGTAGAAATAACTATTTTCCGATGCATCGCGATCTTTATTTGCACGATCTATGCTTTCTGAGTTAATCAGCTTAACTACACAAATATCAACTTTGGCTACCAGAAATCACTTACTCTGCCTTTAATCTGTGACAAACCATGTTTCATACAAAACACACAAAAAAAATATTTATTTTAAAGTCAGTCAGTACTTTATTTGTTTCTTAAACTGATTTTTACATTTGTGTGGACAGTCTGATTGAGATTTCTATATTTTTCTTTACTTCCTATTTTCCATAATGTATATTCTTCTTTATTTTCCACATGTTCTACAAACTTGCAATTGTTGAGTTAAATTGAGCAGCAGGTTTCATCCAGTCTGTCCGTTTAAACGTCTGCGTTTAGCTAATGGCGTCTTTGACAACAGTATTCTATAAAAAATGATTTGCATTCTGATTCTGACATCCAAAGGCACAACAATACTTTTTTTGTCTTGTTTCCCTCCACTTGTTCCCAGTGTTATTCTGCCACCAAAATGCGCGCGCAGCTGCAAGTGATGTAACTGTGACGTCTACTCCAAATTGGTGTATTTGGCGCGTTTTGATAAACTACCGTTATTTTCGCATCGCCGTCATGACGTAACCACTAGTTTCCTTCCTCATTCAGTCAGCGCGTTTGCTGTGTCTGTGTGTTTAGAACATAAATGCTAACATATTTACTATAATGTAGCTAGCTTTGCAGCAGGGCGTTTCTTTGCTTCTTTTCTTCTGTTGAGATGCTCTGGCTTGCTTGTAAATCAATAAAGAGAGAGATCCGTCTCATTCATTTTCTAGTAATTATGTGTTAAACTCAGTACTCATTTTATCAATAACTTTTATTGTGTATTTTTTATGGTCTACTGATGCTACTTGCATCAAGAGTTAATCAATTCCTAATTTTGGGTAGGCTAATTTTGGTAATGATTGCTTTTTAGACTTCCCATGTTTTAAATTTCATGATAAATAAAGCCTTTAAATGCCTAATAAATTATTTTTCAAACTACACATGACTGAGATTGAACGTGCTCGTTTGTGTACATTAACTGTTTTAGCTTTATTTTTGTATATATTACAAATGTTCTGTCCTTGTGAGCAGTATTTGGCGCGTTTTGATAAACTTTTTATTTTTTATTAATTAAACATTCGTTCAAGAATACAAGTGTGACAGAACATATGCCAAGAAAAAGAGCCAGGGGTTGCGTTTTCGATCAACTACCATTATTCTCGCATCGCCGTCATGACGTCACCACCAGTGTTGCCAAGTCCCCGGTTTTCCCGTTACTGTTGCCGCGGGTTGAAGCGACTCCAATAACATGATATTTATCCCCTGGAATGCGAGGAACAGGGGAACCACGCCAAAAAACGTGTATTTTACCCCCTCGAAACGCGATTGGGCTAGTTTTGGGTAGCGATTGGGCGGGTTTTCTTGTGAAACCTGGCAACCCTGGTCACCACTAGTTTCCTTCCTCATTCAGTTCAGCGCGTTTGCTGTGTCTTCTGAGGTGAGTTGAGCAGTGCATATTTCGCTCATTTACACATCCTTAAAAAACACTTTAAACAGTTTGCTTAATCAACATCCTACGAGGTTATTTCTAAATTGCTTTCATCTGATAAAACACTATATATGCACCTGTTCTGGCGTCTGCAAACTGATTTAGTTGAACAGGAAACTAAAGTCATGCAGACATGAAGGATTTCCTGATTGTTTTTTTTAAGCTTGTGTGTTAATTTTTAGACTGATAATGTCAGCGTTATTGAATGTTGAACGTCAATGCTTGATCTGTGATCGTCGTGCTTTGAACATAAATGCTGACATATTTACTATAATGTAGCTTTGCTCGTCGTGCTTGTCATGTGACACAGCAGCCACAATAGCACTGTATAACTGATATAGGCTTATGTTTTATTTATTTTTTCCTTTTTATTCGAAATATTTCCAAACATGTTAACTATATCAGAAAATATCTCGATTCTCAAACATATAAGTAAATGCGTTTTGCACCAGATTGTTATTTGATCTATAATGGGTGATTTGAACTAGCACCGACTACACTACGTTATGCACGAGAAGCTGCAAAAAACACAGGCGCAAGTGGAATGCAAAAAACATGGTGACATTCATTTTTAAGTAAATATAATGGGCGATATATTGCGTCACCAAAAATTATTGCGGTCATGTACATATATTGTGCGACAAGTCGATATATTGATTATTGCGACAGGCCTAGATGACGCAAACATTAGGAGCACCTCAAGCGGTTAAAACAATGTGAACAAAACACATGCAAGTCTGACCCTAATGTTTAATGTCACGATTGTTACCATCTATTTGCATTAGTTTACATCCAGCTACATTAATGCATTTGTTAACCAGTGAAGTTGCAGATTTAAAGATGTGACGTGAGAAAACACATCGATATGTTCATTTAGCTGACAGAAATCCTGTCGCGCTACAGAGCGCATTCACACCGTTTTACATTAAATTACATTATATTTGTCCCAATCGTTGTTAATGTACATAAAGACTTCACCCTGGACTGGAAGATTGTGTATTGTGTTTTTTCAGTGAAACGTTTGTCTTTCTGTTGCTCTAATAAAGTCTGTATGCTTCATATAGAGAGCTATAATATAGATCGCGCTTTTTCTTTACGTTTGTTCTGTTTTTTTAAACACTGAACTTCAAACTCAAGCTCACTCTTTTTGTGCGACTGCCATATTTTGTTATTTTGATTAGATAATCATCAAGTGTTGTAGAATAGAAGCAATTAAAGTGTGAGAGCATACATACAGTCTCTATATGTATGTAATTTCAATGCTATGGCCTTTGTGTAGATATTTAAAGATGGTCATCTAGTTAGTGTTAATCTACTAATTTTTACATTTTGAAGTTGCTTCTGTTCACATTAGTTAATGAACTATGAATTAATTTTAATCAATATATAATTATATATCAATATATAATTTATAATTCCATTTTATAATTTGATCAATATATAATTTATACTTAATATTAATATTTTTATTCATTTACAAAGAATGCTTCAGTATTTATTTATTTTTTTAGTTTTCATACAGTATCCATTTGAAAAACTATTGGTTGATTAATCAGTATCGGCGAGTGTGGTCCAACCTTGCTATCGGTATCCACTATCGGTCGACCTCTATTTTTGATCATCTTCAGTCCCTTCAGTCAGTATAGGGTTTTCTTAGGTGAGCATTTCATGCTCTTTCATGTGATATATACTTTACATGGTTTAACATTTTTATGGGGTTATTTCTGAATGATTTTCATCGGGTTCAGTGCTATTTGTTTTAGGGGTCGACCGATATGTGTTTTTCAGGGCCGATGCCGATACCGATTATTACAGATTAAGCAGACCGATAACCGATATTTTAAACCGATATATATATATGTCTGGTGTAAAAATGAAAATTAATGTCAAAATTAAGAATAACAAGGGCTCTGACAAAAACTGCCTTTCCTGGTGTTGGTTGAGTGTAGTACTCCCACACTGCTCTTACTCTTGTCTTCCTCTGTATGCTTCATGATTAAGCCTATGAATACTGTACTACAGCTAAACAGTTTGGGGAAATGCAAGTATTTGGCTTCAATAATTTACATGTCAGAAATGTATGTGTAATAGCATAACCTCTCATAATTCCTCATTAATTATTTTCTGATGACCAAAACATAACCTACAATAGTAGAGGTGACTATTCAATTCATCATCTAATGCACATCAATGGATTAACTTAAAAAAATGTATATAATAAGTGTAAATAATTTAATTGTTATCATAGCTATATTTTAGAAGTTGTTAAGAAGACTGTAACTATTTTCATGAAATTATAACACTAATAGCCTTTTACAGGCACACTTAGTTCAATAGCCTATTGAAATGTCTTGGCCTATGTGACACTAGAAATTTCAGTTAGTTTTAATTTACAGTACAGTGCAAATGAAGGCATAAATCAGTTTAATTTATCTTTCAATCAAATGAGAGTTAAACTCTTTATTTTTGGCAAACAAAGGGTTTACTATTAAAATTAAAACATGGAAGAAATAGCGTATTGTGTGATTATTCTTTTAAACAAAAGTTCTAATAATTGTTGTAGTAGTATTATGTATATCATACTGCACCACAGTAATATATTTCTGATAATTTCTTTAAGCTAACCC